TTGTTTTTCTGTTTTCTTTTATATTACATAAACATTTTTCGTGAGTGCGACGACTTCAGCATCATGTTTTTAATTATGGGAAGTGAACTAAGAAACATGTCGATATCACATTTGTAATATGTATAGGGGCAACCACAAATATTTACTCTTTGCTCGCTATGATGTGCGAAAGTAACTCTGTCTGTCTGTCTCGCTTTCACGCCGATACTATTGAACCGATTTAAATGAAATTTGGTACTCTGGAGTCTGAGAAAGGAGATAGGCAATTTTGTAATTGGAAAAAGTGTTGTATACTTTTGAAAATATCTTTCTTTAAAACACAGTTGTCTATCGGTGCGTTTCAATTGCTTTGGGGATCATCCTTGCAACGAATCGGTGCCTTTTTGCAAAGATTTCAAATTAATTTAATCTAAACTGTGGACTGCCTAAAATTTGTTGGAAACTATAACAAAATGGCAGACATAAAAAAAACTGCGGATATCTTCAAAAACAGGGATTGTATGGTTATAACACTGCGTGGTAAATTAACACTAGAAATTAATCATCATCATTAAGACGACAAAAATTAATACTTTGTGTCTTAAAAATTATATAAATAAAATAACATAACATACTTATTTTAAAACTAATAAATTATGACATTTTGTTATTTTTCCCCACGGAAACAAATCTTTCTCGCGATATCATTCGCTTGTTAAAACTCACGAAAAAATCTAATTTAAAAATTTTAATTAACGTACGCAAGTACCGTTACCTTCCTGCGCTTAATTTATTAAAACAACAGATAATATCGCGCCCAGACGGGATGTCTGGCCCACTGGGCAAAAACAATACGGCAGAAAGTTGACACGCGAACATTCTTATACTTTTAGCCGAGAATTGAAACATGATAAACTAAAGCGGCAACGTTTCTCAGAAGCCAATGCGACATGGCATCCTGTTTTCATCGAGCTATAAAGCGCTATAAAGCGATATAAAGCGCTATAAAGCTCTATAAAGCGCTATAACGCGCTCACACTGCAGCACTGTCGAAATGGCATCCTGGGTGGTTTCATCGAGCTGTAAAGCGCTCACACGCTGTATTTTACCGGCGTGGAGGTGTGTGGGGGGCTTGCCGCCTTGACGTCACGTGGAAGGTCACCGAAATAAGTTGAACCTTACACGTGTACGACCGGCTATTGATTACGGTAGCCGCGAACGGTTCTCAATAAATTGGTAACAAAAGTATGCGTAATTCAAACGCGAAATTTTCATTGCAGAAAACTTTAGTTTATTTTGTATTGTTTAAGCCGAGTACGTTGTATTAAACGCTATTCAAGGTAAACGTTCTTTTAGGCTTCTATTGAAAAAGAAGAATTTTAATAATCTTTAGCTTTAGCCACAAGACCACGTCACTATTATTTAAACAAGCTTAGCTAGATTGTGATTAAAAAATACAATTTTTTTTATGTGTAAAGCTGCCAATCGAACAGGTGGTTCACCTGATGTTAAGTGAATACCACCGCCCATGGACATCTGCTACACAAAATTGAAAATTGGGCTCCAGCTACCTCACTCACCAGACGAAACGCGAAAATATTATACTTCCACAAAGTGGATTCCACTTTACGCCGGTTTTCTGCGAGGTCGTGGTACTTACCCGAACGAGCCTTTTTTTTCTGTGGGAAAAATCCTTTATGGCCAATGGATGGGAGAGTGGCAGGGGTATGTGGGAGTTCCGTTGAGATACCTACGTTGCTACTAAAAAACCCACGTTGCACCTATCTCTGTCGCATCGGCCGGGGTCACGGGAACACGTGGACGCAATCTTCCGCGACCCCGACGCGACTATGGCCTTTTTAGGCCTCCTCTCCTACATGGTGCTGTGCCGGTGCAATTGACACAGCACACGTCACGAGCCCCACTATTGATCGACAGACACCTTCATGTCTGCCGCTCAGGGTCTCACTATCAGGGGGCAAGGTTGCGCGCGTAGGCCAGCCTCCTGCGCCCTGGCCACCGGCGGCGGATTTCCAGGGTGGCAGTTGCCTCCCGTTCCCTCTCCGCGGCCTCCTTCCGGGTGATAACGTCCTCGCAATATGCGAGGACAGCACCCCACGCTCTCTCGCTGTCAACCATAGCGCGAACCACGGCTGGCAGCGAGAGGTCGTGCCCCACGATACCCGGACGAGCCTGCCCATTCGTGCAACAGCCGAGGCTGCTGCGTGGCTCTACCACCGCTACAAAACAATTGTCAACAAATTGTTCATGGGTGGTCAATCGACCACCCCTGAACAATTTGTAATTAATCGTAATTATTCCTTAACGTGAATTAACAAATTTGAAAGAGAGATAAAAAAATGGAATAATTACGATTTACGAAGACTTAGAAGTTTCTTTTCAAGTTTCAAAATTTCTGTATAACAATGACATAACCTATTATGTCAACCACATTTATTGGAATCCTTTACTACAAGGACTATATTGTACTGTTGTAATGTATTGGATTGGACTATATAGTGTATAAAATAATGTTGATTCATTGTTACTAGGGTAACAAAAATAAATAATTTATTTATGACAATATTATACAGATGTATATAGGTATCTTAATATAAAATTATAAAAATGAAATTAAAAAAAAGCAGGGCCTATTTTGCGACACGCCTCTCAACGCAGTTTGAAAATTTATGAAGACTTTTTGATGAAAATTTTATTTAAATTGTTTACAAATACACAAAATACCGCCAATCAATTAATTATGACGAACAATAAACACATAAAATAAACGATAAACAGATTTTAATAAAATCCAAAAGGTTAAAAAAATATATTTGTGCTAACTTTCTTTTACTATTTGCTGTGCCTTTCATGTTTAATGTATATGACACATTTTTGTACGTTAAAACTTCTTATTGTAGCCAAAAGTAATGGAATATTTAATCAGCCTCTTCAAGTGAATGAAGTAGTACCTATTACAAGTTACTAAGTGTTCCTGATTCCTGACATATTAATAATGTACTCTTTGGTTCCTGACATCGCGATCGGTTTGTTTACTATTTTAAAGTAAAATAACGCCATCTATGATTTCACTAGTATACGATGATCTCTCTAGAATTTAGATTTTGGGACCAATAAATACAAGAGCAACCTCTGATAAGTGTTGTATCAGAATACAACAGTTATAAAAGGGCAAAATTAAATCACGGCATATTTCCAGAAGGACTTACTATGTCTATGTATTAATAAGAAATAATGAATGTCAAACGGGAGTTGTAGAATATCATTGTAGGTGGCCGGCCTTATATTATTATAAGCCTTATAGAATATTGTAGACGGTAAGTAGTAAACATACCATGACAATTTTTTTGTATTTGGGATGGGCCAGAGATTAGACAAATATGTTGTCTGCTCCGACAGAATTTTTAGGAGATGGAAATAAATAAAAATTAAATTAACAATCCTATTTTATTGACCTATTAGCCTTTAGGAAAATAAATAAGATTGGCAGATTTATTGCCTAGATAAAAATTCAGCCTATATTACATCCACATTAATGAATGCTTTCATTAACATACATAATTATATTTTTTTTTTAAACGTTGCCCTTACGTTGGGATAATGTTATCAATATGTTGCAAGGTCGTTTTTACAAACATAATTACACGCGGACGAACACCCAGATGCGGAACAACTATCTATGGGTCACGCAAATAGTTATCCCGTGTCGGAATCGAACCCACGACCCCCGACACCGAAGCCGATACCTTGACGACTGCGCCACAGAGTCATACATATCCCAGCCCAATTACTAAAGATAGACATAGGCTTTCATTTTGAATATTCTAGTCACATAAGCAAGGTAGGCAAACTACTTTTATACTGTATTTTTATTTATTATCCTTTAAAAATTCCAATATTCAACGAAATAGAGTATTCAGTTGTGCCGTTATTAAACAAATCTTACAATGAATTATCCCATTTTTAAATATAATTATACTTATATTTTCTCTTTACAATTATGATATTCATCTTATATACTCTATGCCGCCGATAAGTTAATTAAAATTATAATTTTAGTTATCTGTTTCCGCTACATATTAGAAAAAAAAACAGATGTCTTTTCATAAGGATGCGCAGGTAAAAAATATATCGATTTTTATCGTCTCGACATTTTTAAAAACTGAAAATATCGATACATCGATATATTTTTTAAGGTTTTTTTTATTATTTATATGTCCAAACCATTCAAAATTCCTGAAAAATAATCGACATGATGAAAAAAGTAATATTTATTAATACTCACTCATTGAACGACACAGCGTTAAATAAAATCATGCAAACTGACATAAGTATCACGCTAAATAGTTAAAGAATTTATGTACCTGATCAACTTCTCATGATACTGAATTCAGATTACGTCTAATAATATATGACACTTTTTCCAACGGTAAATTATAAAAATTGGTACTTAGAGTTTTTAAATTTCTTCATGTGCAATTTTTTCTTTTCACCTTTTTTGTTTTGTTGAAAATAAAAGATCCGAAAATTGTTAATTGTTTATTAACTTCAGGGTCATATACGTCTCACACTGATGGTTTAATAGTATTAGTAATTGGAATTTTCATAGTATTGGCTTAAAGGTCTTGTTACCAGGCCATATAATCTTTATTAAAAAAAAAGTATTATCGTGTACGCATTTAATACAGTAAAGTCACTAAATACCAAACCAGAGTTGCGTTACAAATATGTCAAAATTGAGACGGATTCGATAGTCGAAAATAAATATCAAATATCGATATTTTTATCTATCGTTATTTTATGCCCATGCCTATCTTATCTATTATCTATGATTAAGTACCTACTCTACTCTACTTTAATGACATAAATAATAGTTTAACGGATTTTATTAAATTAATCATTGAATTTGGGCGAGAAAAATGAAAAATTTTTTGGTTGAAAAAAATTGAGAAATATTAATTGAAGTGTAGTTGTAATTGTAAATTGATGGTACACTTAAAATGGACGCCATTATATCGAATTTTTGTCAAACTTGTTTAAGTAACGAACGCCTCCTGTATCCAGCACATAAATTATCGTTTAATTTGTACAATCTGGGCATATGTTTAAAGGTTAGTACTGCTGATATAAAATACAATTAATGAGTTATTTGGTAGATTATGGTGAAATAAGTCATGGGGTGTTCTCATGGTGTCTGAAATTATCATAGACTAACGATGTTTCAGAGATGTTACTCCTTAATTTCCTCCAATGAACGCCATTAAACCAGACCATATTGATAATTTTATTACAATTAATCCTTAGAGTTATCACGTTATTTACTCTAGGTATTTGTTGATAGTAAAGTGGTCTGATTGCAGATTGACGACGACAGTGGCGTATGTTGGGAGTGCAAGGCTACCATTATGAAGTTTTTGAGATTCAAGGCGCAAGTGCTTGAGGCACAAAAGGCTTTAGCGCAAATTATTAAGGTAATTTTAACAAAATCCAGATTTGCTTCCTGTTTTTCAATATATGGCCAGTCAACAGTCTTCTCTGTTGCATCAATGGCCAGGTCCGTTCATGTAAGTACCATGACCTACTTGTGGGTTACTATCAAGAGGTGGTAATGCATCTACAACCCTACGGGTATTGCTAATGAGCCAGCAGTATCATGAAATTATTAGATTGCTTTTTGAAGTTAACAAAATTGGCTGTGAATATGTATACATTAGAGGCAAACCCTTATTTGGTCAATAACCTGATTACTTCGTCATCATCATCATTTCAACCTCTTTGAGTCCTCCGCTGAACATAGGCCTCTCCCACAGAGTGCAACAAAGTACGATCCTGAGCCACCTGCATTCATCGAGTCCCCGCACTGTTTACTTGTATACAAAAACTAGCTGACCTAGCAAATGTCGTTTTGCCATATAAATTATTTATTGAAAAAGAATTATCGGAATGCACCCATAAAATGTTTGACAGTTAGGAACAGTTTGTATGGGAAAATATAATTGTTGCTATTTCGATTTTCGAATAATACATAGTTATATCTGAGAAATAAGCTGTATACATTATAAATGTGATTAATTAGAGATATTCATTGATTACATATAGTTCAATGAATTCTAAATAAGTAGTGATAAACAATGTATATGCTCAACACTTGATTGTTTGGGTAGTTTTAAGTATTTTAGGTTCGACTTTGTGCGGGACAGAATTTTAGTATTGGCTTGATTGTGGGTTCAGTTTTGTATGTGCCTATTGTAATCTGTTTTATGTCAAATTTGAAGCAAGCTCTTATAAATATGTTATATATCGTAATTTTCTTTTACAGTATGAACAATTGAAAAGCCTTAGTCAATTGTCACATCATAACAAGTATGTGTACGACTTGGAAGTACAGTACAGTGATCCATTAACAAATTCGGAGGCTGAAAATAAAGATGTAACAATAAAATTAGAAGCAGATACTGAGATATTTATAGATGAACATACATTGGAATGTGATGGTATTACGTCCGCTGTGAGTCTGAAGCAAGAAGAACCAACATATGAGCAAAGCATCACCACCATTAAAGATATAAATGACACGATAAAGAGTTTGAAAACGGACTTTCGGAAACCGAAATTAAAAAAAAGGAATAAACATCTAACCGGGAAAAATACGATATCATTAATGAGAAGAGCCAATGAGTTAGACTATGAAGATGTTAAGGATAAGTTTTCTACTGTTATCTTAAAGGAGGAGGAGATGCTGAAGAATAGAGAAGAGAAGAGGAATCAGCCCAACTTCAAGAAGATTCCATACAAGTGTGATTCCTGTGTTCTTGGTTTCACTCGGAGGGAGACCTATGAAATGCATGTTGAGAAAAAACATGGTGAGGTAAGTTCTTTTCTGCATATGCATGCTTTTAAGTAGATGATTTCATGACCCCATGGTAGCGGTTCTATAGTTGCGATACTATTTTTTTACCCAACTGCAACAGAAGGAGAGTTATGTTCTTCGAGAGTATGTATGCAGCCTGAATGGCTTGATGGATTTTAGCATGAGAGGTGTCGTTATATTCGTATTTACTGTGAGAGCGACACTGGGTATATCAAAATAAAAAATTACACAGAAACGCAGTTGGGTTTTTTTGTTTATTAAATTATATCCTACTTGTTTGTATATGAGAAGGTGGCAAGCGAGCAGGCGGTTCATCTGATCTTAAGTGATCCGCCGCCTATGGACATTTGTAACATCCGTAGGTTTGCACATGCATTGCCACCTTTTAATAAAGTTGGCTACCTCACTCAGCAGGCGAAATGCAGATGTATAAAAGTTCCACTTCACACTGGTCTTCTGTAAGGTTGTGGTACGTCTCTGGACGGACCTGCCCATTCGTGCAACAGGGAACTATTGCGTGGCCCTACCAAGGTAAAATATATACTGTGTAACTATGGTTATTCAGCTAACTATTGAGCAATTTTCGTTGAGTATAATTTACGGTAGTAATGTAACTGTTTCTTATATACAAGGAGAGATTTACTCTTTTCACTATTAGAGCTCATATATTTGATTCGTTTGCTGCATGAGTGGCTCACCACATTTGGGGAATTACCCTGAAAAAGGTCCACCTTAAAAAAACTTAACTTTTCAGCTTTTTCATTTCCTTCAGTGATTGAGTGATCAATCGACCCTTTTAAGGATTGGCAATGCAACTGCAACCGTTATGATACATAACATCTATGCTGGTCATAGACGTTAAGCGACGTGTTATGTGACGGGATGTTAGCTTCGCAACCGGCTTCGATGTCGCTTTTTGCCTGATTTTTTTTTTATGTGAGAAATTGGCAAATGAGCTGGTGGTTCACCTAATTTTAAGTGATAACCGCCGCCCATTTGAAATTTGCAACACCCGTAGGGTTGCAAATGCGTTGCCACCTTAAAATAAAGTGGGCCCCGCCTACCTCACTCACCTGACGAAACACTGAAGTGTAACACTTCTACTTTACGCCGGTCTTCTGTGAGGTACATTGAACACTTTTCCATGGTCGTACCACAATATGATTATCGGTGATGCGCGCGCATTGTAAATGTTACACTCTCATAATTTTTCCAAACGCGCCGAAAGAAGTAAAAACTTCAAAAAAAAAAATGGTAGCGCTAACCCCTCGACGTCTTTGGAACTCAGAGCGTCGGGCAGCACTGCTGCGGTGTGTGCGAATGCCGTTTCCCCTCCGCGAAACTCCTTGAGCGACACACGAGGAAGCACTACGTGGTCCACCGCTGCCTCCTCTGCGACCACGTCAGCCTCGAGCTCTGGTCCGCGGTGGGGCACTGCCGAGCGAAGCACAGCGGCGACAGCAGCGGCAGCATACACTGTACACAGTGCACCGCCGTGTTCAGGTATGCTAGCCCTCTGGTGTTTGGAAGAGTAAGCACTACGTGGTCAACGGATGCCTCTTCTGTGACCACGACAGCCTCGAGCTCTGGTCCGCGGTGGGGCACTGCCGAGCGAAGCACAGCGGCGACAGCAGCGGCAGCATACACTGTTCACAGTGCACCGCCGTGTTCAGGTATGCTCGCCCTCTGGTGTTTGGAAGAGTAAGCACTGCGTGGTCAACGGATGCCTCTTCTGCGACCACGTCAGCCTCGAGCTCTGGTCCGCGGTGGGGCACTGCCGAGCGAAGCACAGCGGCGACAGCAGCGGCAGCATACACTGTCCACAGTGCACCGCCGTGTTCAGGTATGCTAGCCCTCTGGTGTTTGGAAGAGTAAGCACTGCGTGGTCAACGGATGCCTCTTCTGTGACCACGACAACCTCGAGCTCTGGTCCGCGGTGGGGCACTGCCGAGCGAAGCACAGCGGCGACAGCAGCGGCAGCATACACTGTCCCCAGTGCACCGCCGTGTTCAGGTATGCTAGCCCTCTGGTGTTTGGAAGAGTAAGCACTGCGTGGTCAACCGCTGCCTCCTCTGCGACCACTTCAGACTCGAGCTCTGGTCCGCGGTGGGGCACTGCCGAGCGAAGCACAGCGGCGACAGCAGCGGCAGCATACACTGTCCACAGTGCACCGCCGTGTTCAGGTATGCTAGCCCGCTGGTGTTTGGAAGAGTAAGCACTACGTGGTCAACGGATGCCTCTTCTGTGACCACGACAACCTCGAGCTCTGGTCCGCGGTGGGGCACTGCCGAGCGAAGCACAGCGGCGACAGCAGCGGCAACATACACTGTCCCCAGTGCACCGCCGTGTTCAGGTATGCTAGCCCTCTGGTGTTTGGAAGAGTAAGCACTGCGTGGTCAACGGATGCCTCTTCTGTGACCACGACAACCTCGAGCTCTGGTCCGCGGTGGGGCACTGCCGAGCGAAGCACAGCGGCGACAGCAGCGGCAGCATACACTGTCCCCAGTGCACCGCCGTGTTCAGGTATGCTAGCCCTCTGGTGTTTGGAAGAGTAAGCACTGCGTGGTCAACCGCTGCCTCCTCTGCGACCACGTCAGACTCGAGCTCTGGTCCGCGGTGGGGCACTGCCGAGCGAAGCACAACGGTGACAGCAGCGGCAGCATACACTGTCCACAGTGCACCGCCGTGTTCAGGTATGCTAGCCCTCTGGTGTTTGGAAGAGTAAGCACTGCGTGGTCAACCGCTGCCTCCTCTGCGACCACGTCAGACTCGAGCTCTGGTCCGCGGTGGGGCACTGCCGAGCGAAGCACAGCGGTGACAGCAGCGGCAGCATACACTGTCCACAGTGCACCGCCGTGTTCAGGTATGCTAGCCCTCTGGTGTTTGGAAGAGTAAGCACTGCGTGGTCAACCGCTGCCTCCTCTGCGACCACGTCAGACTCGAGCTCTGGTCCGCGGTGGGGCACTGCCGAGCGAAGCACAGCGGTGACAGCAGCGGCAGCATACACTGTCCACAGTGCACCGCCGTGTTCAGGTATGCTAGCCCTCTGGTGTTTGGAAGAGTAAGCACTGCGTGGTCAACCGCTGCCTCCTCTGCGACCACGTCAGACTCGAGCTCTGGTCCGCGGTGGGGCACTGCCGAGCGAAGCACAGCGGTGACAGCAGCGGCAGCATACACTGTCCACAGTGCACCGCCGTGTTCAGGTATGCTAGCCCTCTGGTGTTTGGAAGAGTAAGCACTGCGTGGTCAACCGCTGCCTCCTCTGCGACCACGTCAGACTCGAGCTCTGGTCCGCGGTGGGGCACTGCCGAGCGAAGCACAGCGGTGACAGCAGCGGCAGCATACACTGTCCCCAGTGCACCGCCGTGTTCAGGTATGCTCGCCCTCTGTTTGATCGCCTGCGATTGGATCAATACGTTTCGTCTTTTCGATTGCGGTAAACCAGGGCTCGTAGTTTTTTTTAAAGTTGGCTGCGCGTCTTCTACCATTTGTACTGTATTTTTATTTTTTATTTTTATTTATACTTTATTGCAACCTTTAAATAAAAAGGATTACAAAGGGCGAACTTAATGCCTTTTGGCATTCTCTCCCAGTCAACCCGGGGCGTGGTGAGAAATCGTGGTAGGTGCAATGTAATAATTGCTAAATTAATAAATATTTATAATAATAATTATATGCCTCTAATAATAATTATTATTACTGTAGACGTCCACTAAGTTGAACCGTCTGCTCGTTTGCCAACTTTTCGCGTAAAAAGGGTCTATACTGACGGTCGCGTCTCTTACGCCAGTGGGCGTGGGTTCGATCTCCACTGTTGGAACCATGCGATGAACACGTGTTACTATGTATTATTTACAAAGGAAAATCATGTTTATCAGCTACCTAGTTCTAGTGATGCAAAACACCTCTGTTTTTCCGCAACTTTAACAACCGAAACGTTATGACGGGGTGATGCGCGCGCGCGTTGCATAGAGTTTGAAACGATCGCGGCCAAACTACCTTTTATAAAACATATCTTTCTACTACTTAACAATATTTTTTTCATAAATTTTATTCGTATATCTGTTTCAGTTTCCGCTTCAGCATGACACGTCTGTTGCATCACTACATTTAGTGGTTCCATAGTTTGAACGTCGCTATAACATAATCAACTTTATCTCCCCAAGGACTCCACAAGCACTGTCCGACCACATCAAATCGCAGCACACGCTACGCTGCAACGTATGCGGCGACGAGTTCAAGGGAAAGCACACACTGAGGACGCACAAGATGTAAATACCTGATGCTCATTCGCCTCTGTAGTAATACTTCTTTTGCCGCGAAGCAAAATGATGAGAGTGGACTAATCGAATCGAAAATCGAATAGAGAAAAAATCAATATCATTTCTTCATCGACATTAGAAACATACCATGTCATCCATAGATTACAATCATACCCAATCAGCCTTGTGCAGTCCACTGCTGGACATAAGCCTCCCCAAGGGCATGCCATTGTACACGATCCTCCGCTTTCCTCATCCAGCCACTACCAGCTACCTTTCTCTGGTCATCGGTCCATCTCCAGCAAAAAAAAATGACTATCGATGATTTCATTCATCATTTTTTATTTCATCGACATTTTCACCTTCAACCTGTCAGGTCTTCTAGAGGTACACGGTAATCACTTAACATTAGAGATGCGCAAAACAGTGCTTTTAAAAAGTAATGTGACGTTTATCACATCACTCATCGAAGTAATATCACTCAAAAGCATTACGCATTACATTACTTATTACATTACGCAGTAGGTCTATGTAGGTCTATACTGTGATGATGATGTTGCGATGGCATTACAGTAACATACTGGACTAAGATTTTAATTTCTTTACTATTATGTACTTAAGAATTAAAGCGTATTGTGACTTTATTTAAGTGTATGATATTCTAAGTGTAAATATTAAAAATAGAGGTAATTTCGCAACTTATTATTTTATTTATAGTTATTCCGTGTTTAATAATTAAACGTAATATTCAAAATAGCTTAGTTAAAAATACAGAAGGACAAAGGCGAAGGCAAAAGCTAATATCAATAAAAATCTATTCGTCAATTATTGTCAGTTTACCCAAAGAAATTAACCTTGAACTATCTGAAGACAAATTTGAAAATATCGTCAAAAATTAATTTCAACCTTAATAGCATGCAATATTAGCTTGTTTTTGTATTACAGCATGACATTCATATTTGCGCGGGGAATGCACACATTTTGTTAGTAACGTCGTAAAAAAATCTTATTTATATTGCATTAGGTCGTGATTTTATTGAAAGTAATGTAAAATATTATCCGACTAAAGCGAAGGTGCGTAATGTGATGCCGCCCGAAGTGCGCGATCACCTCGCTCGCACACGCATGACATCCTTTTTTCATTCGGCGATCGCGGAACGCGACGTAATGCATCACAAAAAGTGATGACATTGCTAAGTAATATTACTCGAGTGATATCATCGGCATTACTTACACATCTCTACTTAACATCAGGTGAAGGTGGTTCATCAACTTTTGACATAAAAAAAACTTAAGAAGTAACACTTCTATAGCGTAACAGAAGAATAATAACTAAGAATCATATGTTTAACTTGAAATTGTAAGTGGATGTCAATAAGTTGTTACCGGTTGCCATGGTAACACCACGTGTGGCAACGCCGCCCTTTGGCGTCGCGCACCGAGGCAATTCACTCTCACACATGCAACCCAAACCGGCACACCAACGCGCCACGTGAAATTTAACTTGAGATGTGGCCCCAACGCATGTGGCCCCAGGCGCATACACGGCGCGCGCCGCGACTTCGCCTGCGACGCGTGCGGGAAGACCTTCAAGACGAAGTCGCGCCTAGAGTCGCACGTGGCCGGTCACAACGCGGCGCTCGCCAAGAAGCTAGCCTTCTGCGCCGTCTGCAACGTCCAGTACAAGAACATATACGTGTACAGGAACCACCTGAAGAACAGCGCCAACCATTCGGAGCGATCGTGCGTATTTTTGACTTGGAACGTCCAATGCACTGTAGCAGATGTAAACCAAGGCTCTGAAATATAATATATAAATATAATCTCGACCCCCGTGGGATCCCCTGAGACAGTGCTCGATTCTTTCGGGGTTCGATTCCCCGAGGCCCGCATCTGCACCTGCCCTACTCTCAGTGTAGAAGACCCCGGCGTGTGACGTGATTTATGGGCAGCTCATTTATTTTACGCGCGATCATTCATAACTAACACCCACACAAGTTCATTTCAAAAGTATACGACGCATTTATGAATGACTACCGCATTGTCAACATGTTCTGTTATTTAGGGAATGGAAAGGCAATATTTTTTTTTGAAAAAAAAAAAAAAGTTTCTTTTTATTTCAATAAGCGATTATACTACCGAGTCTGAACCTCCTGTGTGAATTTGGGCACCTTTATAAAAGCCACCGTGTATATATTTTTTTTATGTGATTCGTCGTTTATGAACCAATGTTGATGATTATTTTTTTGTTGAAAAGGAGATATCCCAAAGTTGGTAAGATGATAAGGAAACCCTGATCTGATGATGGCATCACAGAGAAAACGAGGGCAATCCTCAAAGTTATACGTGTTGACAATGTTTTTGTTTCCTCTCTGAAGCCGGTTTTGTTTGTTAAAATTATTCAAGTACAGGTTCGCTCTCCAAACTTAAGAAGTTCGCGTGTTTTATGTTGATTCTCCAAATTAGTGAGATCAATTTGTTCACTTGTCACCATTTCAACATTTGTCTCGATTCCAGTTACGAATGCAAAGAGTGCGGCAAAAAGTTCGCCTCTAAGGTGTATTGGAGGAAGCACTGCGAGTTCTACCACCAGCACAAGTCCCAGTACAAATGCGAAATATGTAATAAGGTGAGTTTTTACGATATATCTCCGATACAATTCGCAGGGGGAGAGGGGGGAGTGATGTACTCTGCAATAAATAGGATACACGTCGTCCGTTCGGTTGCTCCTAATGTTTCACACCCACACCTTGATTACATTAAATGACGGTAAACGTTGCGCTGGTATTAAATTTAATAATTTTCAATTGGTAAATTTGAACTCGCTAAGACTGCATACCATTCTGTGATATGCGAATATGCTTTATTATACGAACGAACCAAACGCTAGGTAAGTGCTGGTTGACGTCTCAATATAAAATATTAATAGGGTCTTGGTGTTAATCTAATGGAACCTTGTCTTTCCAGCTCTTCATATCAGATTGGAGGCTGAAGAACCACGGGCAGACTCACCACGGCCTCGGCAGGTCCAGGAACCACGTTTGCAACGTATGCGGAAAGAAGTTCTTTGTAAGTGGCTTCCATACCGAGCGACCTTTGTGGCTCTACTAGAGTGGAGTATGTCTAACTCGATTCTCTACGAGTTCTGCCACCGTTGAAGCTTATAGTCTAGGAGCTAGCAACGTTTTCGAGAGAGAATTTTGGGTAGGCCAGTTATTAGATGTGCTATCTCTCTCACTCTCCCGGACGTCATAAGGGCTATCTGGCTGACGGTAGAGGTTGCGTTCATCAGTACGCATCGTACTTGTACAGGTACCTGAAATTGTTGTTTTCCGTACGTTGCTAGCTCTTGTACTATTACTACAGGGAGACTTTTTCAAAGGTGCCCAAATTTACACAAGAGATAGATAGAAGATAAAAACAGGGATTGAAAACCCTTATCGTTTATTGATATAAAAACAGGGATTTAAAACATTGATATAAAAGAAGGGAATAGAATGGTAATTTTTTTGCCAAAAAAATTACCATTCTATTCCCTAAAAAACAGAACTTTTGACAACGCGGTAGTCATTCATTAATACCTATATTTTACTGTTCACGCACACAAACGAACTTGTGTGCGTGTTAGTTATGAATGATCGCGCGTAAAATAAATGAGTTGCGTATTAATCACGCATTTTTTGAGATAAGTTCAAATGAATGTAATTGATTACTTACGAGTGATTTAAAATATTTATCATTTTTATATAACATTATTTATGTCTAGAATTTAATTAAAAAAAAATGGACATACTTAGAAAAGCCTCCCTGTATAGTCTTCGGACTACATACTGTCTACTACCACTGAATTGTGTTGACGCTCAAATGTTAGTGCCAGGCAACCGCTTTTGCTGTTGCACTTAAAAGCTCGCTTGAAGAAGTGCCACGGCAACACGATCTGGTGAGTGAGGTATCCGGGGCTATCTCGGTGCGGTAGCACAAACCGGTCTTACTTTGTACAAGGATGATCGATTTCACCCCCACCCCCCATCCCATTTTGCACTCGTGCAAAATAAGATCCGTCCCCATTTTTCACTCTCTGTGCAAATTCTCTTTTATAACATTGCCCTTACTTTAGGACAACATTATCCCGCGTTGTAAGGACGTTTTACAAACATGCGAAACAACTATCCGTGGGTCACACAAACGGTCGTCCCGTGTGGGAATCGAACCCACGACCGCCGACGCCGAAGCCGATACGTCGGCTTCGCCGCACACTACGCCACGGCTCGGCAACTGCGCCATGGAGTCATCAGAACCGCCCTCGCCGCCCTCCCCCCGCAGACCCTCTCCACGCTGAGGGGCCACCAGCTGACCCATTCGGAGCAGCGCAGCTACATGTGCGAGGACTGCGGCGACACTTTCAAGCAGAGGCCCGCCCTATACACGCACGCGCGGCTCGTCCACCGCGGCGGCAAGCGGAAGAAATAAAACACACGCAATACTACGCCGTTTTATTGGACTACCCGCACCCATCGTAACGTTTCGACGCAAGCGACGACTACTATGAATTTGTGAAACATACTCTTCATCTATCGATAGTAAATTTTTTTTTAATGCATCACCGTTTCGTAATAAAGTTATTCTAATGGAGAGGAAAACGACGAAAGAAACTCCGTAGGTATTGGTATCTTTTTTGTTATCTTTTTTTAATATAAAAATTACAATATGATTATTATAACTAAAGGTAGTCAATCAGATCGATGCAAGAACCCCATGTTGGCGTATCTTTATAGTTAAAAACCCCATAAAAATAAAGATGGTAAAAAAAAGATGCTAGAGTTAGAATAGCATTACAATTATTACAATAAAAATTTGGAAAGTGAATATTGGCGAGTTGCGATTGCTTTCGTTGACGTCAATGCTCACGTTTTGCTGAGTTGCGCCTCGTGCCTCTGGAATGTATGGGGCTCGCTGCTGTTTAGGCGTTTTACTTATTGGGCTATGTTGTTAATCGTATCCTCCACCTAAATAATTCAGAGGCGATGTTTTGAATAGCGATTCCATGTTTGCGTCTGATGTCATCTCTAAAAGTTATTCATGTATCTCCTTTGACTTGTTTACCAGTTTTTGCAGGTTGAGTATAATAGGATATTGAACCCGTGAATTCCTTTTGATTTTTGTGTTCCTTTCTTCTGTTAAATACGCCTCAAATGCGCGCACATTGTTGAGGTTTTGGACCAATTCGTCGAAAATATCATTTTCAACTATTTCTTCGTCGCTAACATTCTATCTTCTTTTTCTTTCTTACCAACAACACAACAAGTAATCCAAACATCTAATTATCTTTTTTAAGCTGTTATTTTGTTATTAGCATTGAATGCTGTTGTCTTGTATAGTTCGCTTAACTATTGAAAAATTTGGAACAACCAAGTTCACACATGAAAAGATATATCGGTAAAAAAGTTGGTAGCCCCGCTCCAACTTTTAATACCCATCGGCGGGTGTGAGTCCGAATACTCTACAGCTAATTTAACTAAGCATCGAGTAGCCAAAAAGGCGGAAAAAAAAAATAACTTGAATTAATCTAGTATTGCGAGCTGAATCATTCAGACCGAATGGTATGTTCGAGAATATTTTCTCTATACCTCAGCCTTTTCTCACTGGTTATTGTCGCCTCTTTAACGTAGTTGCCTGGGGAAAATGGCTTCTAAACGATTGTTGGATGCAGGGGATGGCCTCAAGGCTGCACCCAACACGGAGTTTTTGCCGTGGATTGTATTTTTGTGTATAGGGCTGCGTTGCTTATTGAGGTGAGGTGAATCAAACTCATCACTGAGTACACTTTATTGCCAATTGACTACAATATTAAACTTATTAAATTATATGCATAACAAATCAACAGTTTTACACGTTCACCTGCTAGGAAGGCGGAAGTGCAACTAAGGAGGGAACTATGACATCTATGAAAGTCAAAGCCACAGACTAAACTTACATAGATAGCGATACGATAAAGCTGCCAATTGTATCGTCATGTTATTTTTGTAATTCTTGGCTTAGTGTGCAATAAAGAATATTTCATTCGGTTCCATTACAGTAACTTATTTTACATTTTTTATATGCAAAAATAAAAGAATACTCTGAGTACAAATGATATGAGCATCTGCTTTGCTGATTTTCCTCACGAATTGTTGTGGATCCAAGAGTTCGTTGATCTACTAGTCGTCTTGCTTGATTCACTGATTTAATACGAGTAGGTTCTATAAAGTTCGATCAGGATATGCTACTAGGACCTTTTTTGCTTTTAAATATCCAAATTTACACATCATTTAATCTGGATACACCGGGCGCATGGGATATAAAGTTCATATTCCTTAAACCAACATTAGGAGTTCCTAATGTTGGTGTGAAGCCAACAACCAAAGTTGTTGTTAATATGGGGGTAATTAAAAAAAGGGGTAAAGGCATTCCTGTAAAATACCGCCATTTCTAGTATACCAAGCTAGAGGGGGCGTTGTTAGCTCGCTCTCGATATAGGTCACATTACTCTACCCTGCAGTGGCTGATCCAAAAGTACCAGACTTGCGGATTCCTTTTCTGTTTCCTTCTAGGCCTGACTTCTGTTAGTTTGGCCACGAGGTTTCCTAGGCCTCTGATCGAACTCTCTCAAGTCCGCCCAGTTTTACTCAGCGGCTCGTCTTTGTTGGTATTCGTAGGCCCATCGCTGTTTTACATCAGGCATCGGTATTAAGCTCGCGGATGTGACTGAAGTTAACTTGTGCACCTTTTTCTGCTACAACTTTTCCGGGTTTATTATTTGATTGAATTCCGGTTTCATCGATATTGTAGATCTTTTCTGGTTTGTCAGAACTTTGATCCAAAGATCATAGAAGTATTCATTCTCTACCTTAAGACCTTTAGCTCTAGCCACGAATAAACCTTCAGCTTGTCTGATAGGTCAGACAGCTCCGGATTTCGTTCAATAACTTTTGAACCATGCACCTCCAGCCATTTTGTTTTTGTGGTTGAAATTATATTTTAGGTAAAGCTTTTAAGCAAATAGATAAGCTAACATGCGTATGGCTTGTCTTTTTAGGGGAAATCCTGCATCACAAAACTTGTGAATGTGCTTTAATAGCCTTTTCTCGTTGTACAAATCGAAAATAAGATGTTTCCTAAAAAAAAAAAATTGCGTTAATAAATATATTGGAAACTAGAGACAGTAATTATTTAAATAAAAGCTTGTAATGCCCTGCATTTTGTCCATGCCATTGTCAACTTTGTTGTATTTCTAGTAGCATATCGTCTTCGCATGTCCTCGGTGTTATCTCAAGTTGACGGGATATTTCGTTTATCACCATGGTATTTTTGTCCATTTCATCGAAAGACGACTGTAGGTTTTCTGTAGTCCATGAGCATTCTCGAGCTCGCACTCCTTCCATTATTTTATATAAATATACGTAAATACATAAAAATACGTATTTACGTATATTTATATACGTACGGACACATATTTAAAAATATACACTTACTGCATATGGTGTACGGAGGGAGCCGTTAAGGCGAGGGTTCCTAAAGTATTTTTCACCACGCGACCCTGCTGCCTAAAATAGAAATGCCCACTTCGATCTGGGGAAGAGGAAATCAATAGGCTCACCAATTATTCCATCCGAACAAATAAAGTGAGGTAGTATGTTTTTTAGTCACGCCTTAACTACTCAACCGACCCCTATGAAATTTTTAGAAAATTGATAGAAATTGATTGATAAAATCTATAATAACGCGAGCGAAGCCGCGAGAAAAAGCTAATTTTAAAATATAACAAGTGTAATAAACAATATAACAAGGATAAAAAAAAATCAACTCTAGTTTGGGTGCGGGCGTGAATTTTTAAACATTTAGTGTGGTTAATTTTTCGAAATCCTGGATAAATTTTCTGTAATAACCGACTAGTCCTAGGAAAGATTTTATTTCTTTTTGTGTTTTTGGCAGTAGAAATTTATTTACTGTTGCGATTTTATTTTCATTTGCCTGGAGGCCTTTATCTGTTCAAGTGTGACCTAGGAAGTATACTTATTTTTGCAAAAATTCTAAATTGTTAAGTTGAATTTTTAAGTTGTGAACTCTAAATCTATCGAATACATGTTTGAATTTCTCTAAGTGTTCCTGTAGTAAGGTGGAGTATATGATGATGTCTAAATATGTTAATACGTGATCTATTTCGCGTAATACTGAATCCATTATGCCCAGTTTCCGAAAGGCCAATCAAAGCAGCAATCACATAACACTATGTCAAAAATGATCAGCTGTTAATCTCTTGTTAAACTGCCTTGGGTTTCTGGAAGGTTTGTTGAAGAAAAATTAGCTAATCACTGTATAACCAATTATATTGAATGAAATGAACGATTTACTTCAACTAACTCTTTCTATTGTATAGCTGTCCCTTTTTAAACAAAACTTAAATTAACGTCACTATCCAGTCCTGTCACCGTGTGATTGCCAAAAAAAATTAACTTTTATCCATAATAAACAAGTAAGTATTATAAAAAGAAAGAATCCATATTATTTATTAACTTTTGAATTGCATTTTGTATTTTTTCTAATCACATGATATGTTCGCATAATAATAAATAATAAATAGGTAATAGAACACATGAATGTCCTAACAACGTATTAGGGAATTATGTTTATTTTTAATAAAAACTAAGATTTTTGATAAATTACATTTTTAACCAACGATTGATCGTCCAAATTGACAGATTACATAATAAAACTTTTGACAACTCGTTGACCACCGAAAAACGCTTTCAGAAACTCGATTTTCTGTTGATTGTCCGTTAGTCAGTGACTAATTGCAAAATCAAAATCAACGTTGTTTTCAGACGTTCTAGCAACTCAGATCATGTTAAACAACGATTGACAAGAGATTTATCGTAAATTAAAATTGATTGCGCTTTCGGAAACTGGGTGTTAGTCTCTGGAATATGCTTGGGGCATTTTTTAGGCCAAAGGGCATACTGATGAATTCATGATGTCCGCGATCTGTTGTAAATTCTGTTTTTTCAATGTCATTAGGTACACTTCTACTTGGTGATAACCGGTTTTTCGGGACTATATGTACTGGGCATGACCAAGGAGAATTGCTTTCTATTATAATATTTTGTTCTAATACTTTATTTATTTGTTTCTTTATTTCTCCCTTTTGTTTGGTTGCTTGCCTATAATTCCTAACGAAAATTGGTTTATCATCGGTTAGTCTTAATTGGTGTTTTATTTCATGAGTGAATGTAAGAGGTACTACTTCCTCGCAATAAAAAAAATCTCTAGATAATTATAACAAGGTTTTTTAATTTCTCTTTTTTCTTCAGAATTTATGTGATCTGTTCTTAATTTATTTGGATTTTGTTTTAATAATTCATTTATATTTTTATTTATCTTTGTTGTCTTAAATTGATGTAAAGGCTGTCACAGTAAGTGCGCACTTTTTC